TCAAGCTTTGTTATATTATCTTGTTTTAGAAAGTATTACCAACAACCTTCTTCTTTAATATTTTAGTTCACCATTTTTTGATGTTGTTTTATATTGTATTTTGATCTGTGACCATAAATAAGTTAACTTTGAAAATCTTTGTTGGCAATGTACGAAATTTGAGGTATGATACTCATGATTTTTCTTGCCCGTTATTAATTCCTTTTTGGAATAATATAGTAGCATATACAAGTAAATTGTGGAGTAAATGTTTTCATGTTAAAGATGTGAATGTTATTGTGAATGATATACCAAAATTGTGGAATTCAACCACTTTTGAGGACCTTTGGTTATACCAGGTGCGGGAAATAGCTGAGAGAATTATATTGGAAGACTAGAAAGGTAGACATCAAGAATTGGATTTTAAAAAATATGCAATTTATCAGTTGGTTATTTTTTTCCTATCAATCAAAATATATTCCTACAATATATTTATTTGGCACAGTTTTCATAATATTTTACAAGATTAGAAAAATGTCTGTGGATAAATAATAAATAAATAAAATGTTTATGCTATGGACCCTGTTGACGAAAGAATGTCGACTGGCGGGACCCAGGAGAGCCTTCTCTGCCGTTGCCCCTGCCCTATGGAATACCCTCCCCCCAGAGGTGAGGCGGGCCCCTACTCTCTCGGCCTTCCGGAAAGGGGTAAAGACCTGGCTTGCCAACTCGTATGGGGCAAGAAAAGGGGCAACCAATCCTGGGGAGTGGCTAGCACCTTGAAGATGCTCCTGTAGGTAATATCCTTATCTACCAGCAGTACCTTGGAAGATATTATTTATGTATGAATGGTTTTTATTGTATTTTTATTGTATTTTAATTAATATTTATTCTTGTTTTTATTGTAAACTGCCCAGAGTTGCTTCCTAGTGAGATGAGCGGTGACTAAATTTGAAATATAAATCAATAAATAAGTGACATTTTGTTATTTTGTGTGTGTGTGTGTCTGTGTGGGATATTTATCTGATTTATATTAAAAAGGTTAATCGTAGATTTTTGCTTGCTTGTTCTTTTTTTCTATTTGTTTTAGCAATAGAATTTAATCATTGTTTGATTATCTCTTGGACAGTTGCATATTACCTTTAAAAAATATTCTTAATGGTTTGTTCTTTGTTGTTGTTGCTGCTGTTGTAAGCTGTTTTCTCTGTATTTTCTTAAAATTGGCAATGAAATAGTAATTATTTTTAAATTAATCATTTAATTAATTGATTTATTCTTCCACAGGCAACTTATTGCTGAGCAACAGGGCATGTTAAAAGTTGCCCTTTAAAATCATAGGCCTGCTGTAGCAATGCAAATGAAAGTAATGCCAGGGATACAGGAACTCATTCATTCTTCCCCTTACAATTAACCCTTGTCCAACCTCATTCAGGGTGACAAGAAGCCATAATCAATATACAGCTTTCTAACAATCTCCTTTCCAGCAGCAGAACATCACCCTTTCCTTGGCTGATTCTACTTGATTCTACTTTAATGGTTACTTCGTTCCTCTGGAGCCAAACCAAGCCGTGCTGGGGATTAACCCTGAGAACTTTCAGCCAACCCATTTGGGGTCTTTGAGAATGTAGGAGACTGATCTAAATGCTTTCATTTAATAGATCCTTGTCACTAGATGGATATATTTGTCTTCATGTTATTTTGCTGTTATCTAACAAGATAGCTGCTGTTTGGATATCAAAAGGATATGGCTGTCTAAGTTCGTTAGAGATTTCTTTTGGAAGCTAAAGATGGGGGCCACAGTATTTCCCAGGACGATACTGAGGCCAGTCCAGGTTCTCCAAAGAGAATCTCAGTGACCTCAGACAAATTTGGTCTATGGTAACTTTTCTTCACTTTAGTATGAAACTATTATCCCTCCTGAATGCCTTGGCAAAAAGGTAGTAACTAAACAAGCAAACAGACAAAGATTAAAAATAAATCAAGGCAGTCAGTCCAAACCCCACGCCGACAAAAATACCATTGGACACACCCAACACTGTCCAACATCCTATTCTTAACTCTGACAGTTCCTGATTGTGCTGCACAGACTATCTGGGATTGGAAAAGTTCCCAAGCCTTGCTAGCCTGCTTTATGAAATTCTGGCTCTGCTTGATGCTGAAGATGTCTTCATTCACGAGCTGCAGGAACTTCATGAAGAGTATTCCAATATTAACTAGTGATCCTTGGTGTTCCCGATACTGCCTCAACATGCACAGAGAGGCCAGTTCATAACCTGGAGAGGAGTATGGAATTCACTTCTGATGTTTATCTAATGATATTCAGTAATGTTAAAATGCAGGTGGGCAAAACATTGGTACAACTACCAAAGAACATCCATAGATTTCCCTGTATTGCAGTGGCCATGACAGAATGCTCGTTTTTCTGCTTGTGGTTATTTCTCCCAACCAGGGGCAGGTAGCCCACAGCCTGTGAGTTGTGTGCAACCTCCAGAAGCGCCCTTGCAGCCCCCCTACGAATGGGTGGGCAGAACATTTGGAGTCCACATTCATTTTCTGAGGTAGGGAATAAAGAGGTGAAAGTAGGCCATCCCGACCACTCATAAGATCCCAAAGAATCTTATGCGGATCTAACAGTCAAATGTTAACGGGTATTGCCTCTCAAGAGCCCCATAATGGACAAGAAAGAAGTCCCAAAATGTCAGCCATGCTCATTCCAATGAAATCCTGACGTCCCCAGCCACAGTCCCTCCATTCCCCAGGCAGAGCAGCGGGAGAAAGTGGCTCCCCAGTCTGAAAAAGGCTACCTGACCTTAGTCTAGACACCCACCTGTGCCATTAAAATCGATGGCCATTCCACTGATTCCGGTAGGGAAACCAACATCGTTTTGTATTAGCAGGCAAATGAGAAATGGGGGGTGGAAGGGAGTGGCAAGGAATGTACAGAATCCATTTGAATATCTTAAAAAAGCACTTGTTGACATGCTTAGAGCGAAGGACTACATGCTAGTGCTGGCAGTTAAAACAGGAAGTTGAACAGAAATCAGCTTTACAGAGAAACAGAATTCTGATTACTTGTAATCAGGAAACCAGACTTGTCACAAGAGGAAACAAAACGCTTACTGCATTTATTTTTTTTTTAAACACGGGACTGTGGATGGATCGATAGGAGTTAACTGGTACAGAATAACTGTCTGCCTACTTACTAGGACCCTCTATGGGAATGTTGTAAGTGGTTGGAAAAAAAGATCAGTGTGGATCCAGTAAAGGAAATGGGAGGCAAGTTCCAAAACGCCATTCTCTGCTTTCTAGCTGGCATGAAAATACCTTAACCACTTTGAGGTCCAGCACTTTCTTACTTGAGAAAGACTCATGCAATGGATTCAGGACAAGAAAAACACGTGCAAATATCTCAGATCAGTCTTCAGCTCAGTTCATTTCTGTACCACTATAACATCTTTGTAGTGGTACAGAAATACCACAACAAATCTAATACTTCTTGATAAGCTAGGATACATCTTGAGTTGGCAGTTAATGTATGCCCTTAACAGGGAAGTAAATCCCACCGAGTCCTTCAAGTAATGCGTGTAGGATTGCACTGAAGAGCTATCACTGCACCCTGAGCCATTGGTAAAAGATCAAGTTGTCACATTAAATGAACAAAAAGTGAATAGTTTGTAAATCACTTCTCTCTACTTTTTAGCTGCCCCCAAGCTGCTAACTGAACTGATAGCTTACAATCACAGGTTAGAAAAGATTTACTTCACTGAAAGATTTACAGCATGATAGAAAAGTGTAGCGTGCTCTATTACTAAATTGTTCCAACTGCCAATTCCTCTCCTAGCATTGCTAGAGTATTTTTAAAAACAAACACATGAGTCAGACTCTCAAATCAGCTCTTCCAAAGTTAGCTTCAAAAATCACAATTTTTCTCCTCTTCTTTCCACTTGAAGTTGCCTCTCCAAGAAGTTTTTGTTGAACCACAAGAAGGAGAATTTTATATAAAAAGATGTGAAGCTTTGAAAAAAGGTCAGAGTTACCCAGAAAGAACTGTTGATTCAAACCACAGTTTTAAATATCATAGCTAAACTTCTACAGTCACTTTGCTGGGGTTTGAGCAAAGAGTGTCTGTGTTTAAAAGCAGGGATACCCAGCCCATTGGCAATGGAGATAAACACATGGGATACATCATTCCTGTCCATCAAATTGTTTCTTTAATGGTGCAGAGCAGAGGGGTGGGTCATTTGGGGTCCTACTTTGCACCTCTAATTGACTGATATATATATATATATATATATATAGAGAGAGAGAGAGAGAGAGAGAGAGAGAGAGAGAGAG